ACACTGGGGTTGAGCCCCTCGATAAATCGATGAACCCTCTATTGAATAGTAGAAACCAAGGTTGGTGCATGCCTAGACAAATCACTGAACTAGACCGCATACTCTGACACGGTCATAGAACCCCGGCGCAACTGCTCAAACTCTACGCGCCATGCATCTCTGAGACTCTAGGGAATATACTCCCTCAAGAACATATCTGAGAACTGAGTCCAAGTGAGTGAAGCTGCCTCAGCCGGACTACCCACCACATATGCTCGCCACCACTAATAAGCCGTTCCTCTAAGCTGGAACACAGTGAAAGAAACCCCACTAGACTTTGAAACACCCATAGTACTGAGGATATGGTAGCACTCCTCAAGAAAACCCTGGGCTTCCTCTGATGCCAAGCCACTGAAAGTAGGAGTGTGGTACTTATTGTACCTCTCGAGCCTGAGCTCCTCCTCCTCAGAAACTGCTGCCCTAACCTCGGGCTAAACGGGGGCTACCGGCTGCATTGGTATGACCTCTAGAACCTAGCCGACCTGGACCCGCAGCTCTGGGGTATGGGAAGCGGGAGTCTGTGCTCCTCCGCCGGCCTAAGATGTGGCAGGAGCAAGTGGTATCAACCTTACCTAAGCCAAAGTGCTGAACATGCTCATAAACTGGGCGAGAGTTTCCTCGAGAGTTGGTGTAGTAACAAGCGTCCCAGGTGTCTTCCCTGCAACTGGAGCTACTGGTGACTCCTCTGTAGCAGCTCGTGTGGGTGCTCTGGCTGCGCCATGTGGACGTCCTCAGCCTCTACCCTGGCCCCGGCCTCTCGCTGCTCTAGCACAGGGCGCGGGTATCTGGTCATCTGATCCAGCTGTACGTGTCCTCACCATCTGTGAGAGAATAAAAAGATAGAAATTTAAAATCCGAAGTCAAAACTTTCACACGATAAGAAATCAATGAAGTGAAGCTTTTCCTAACATTTCCATAGCCTCCTGAAGATAAGTACAGACGTCACCGTACCGATCCGCGAGACTCTACTAAACCTGCTTGTGACTCATAACACCTATAAACCTAGAGCTCTGATACCAAATTGTCACGACTCCAAATTTCCCTCGTAGGATGTCGTGACGACACCTAGTCTCTAAGACTAGGTAAGCCTAACAAGTATACGGAATAACTGAAATATTAACCTAAAACTCAAACGACAACAACGGTAATAAATAAAATTTGCAACTCAAGTATAAACAACTCCCAAACCCCGGTAGATATAAGTCACAAGCTCTAAAGAGAAATACTAAATATCCCTATACATTAGAGTCTAATGAGGATAAGGAAATAACATAATAAAGACATAGGGGGTTCCGAGATCTGCGGACGCTGACAGATGCACCTTGAAGTATCCACATACGGACTAGCTCACTAGTACCTGGTCTGGTAGGAAGTACCTGTATCTGCACAAAAAGATGTACAAAAGCATAGTATGAGTACACCACAACAGTACCTAACAAGTGTCAAGCCTAACCTCGGTAGAGTAGTACCGAGGTCAGGTTAGGGCCCTATTGGAAATAATAAGAAGCAAGGCAGAAGATAAAATAATATAATGAAATGATAGAGAAGTGAAACAATGAGAATTTACGGAAGGTAATAACATGTAATCATAGAAAGACAAATACAACATGAAAGAAAAGCAAAATTTTACAAGTTAACAACAACAACCAATACATCAAATAGAGGAAATCAACTAGGGCACTCCCGAGGTACCGCCTCGTAGTCCCAAAAGTAAATATCTTACAATCTTTTCTTATATCACCGCTGGAGCCTTTATATTTTGTTTTGAAAATAATTTTTCCAAAATAGCATCCCGCATTTTAGCTAACCTTATCACACCGCATGACTTCTAGTAGTTCCCCTACTAGCCACGCGTATCAAGCCCACCTTATCTCATCGCATGTGTTTCAATACTCAGACCTTATTATACTACTGCATGCGTATCAATAATCACAACGGGACGGCAAAAACCTCGTGCAAACAATAACAACCGCACGGCAGAAACCTTGTACAATAATAACAATCGCACGACTGAAATCTTGTGTAACAACCAAACAATCATCTCAATAATAATCACGGAAACCAAAACATAACAACTGAAACAACGATATTTCAAGGATAGCAATTTCAAGTAAAAAATTCCACAGTTAAATAAGGAATATGGAATCAAGTAAGGAGGTAATTCGACTAAGCATGTAGTACACATTGCAAATAAGAGATAAGACAAGTAGGCAAGGAAAATTAGGCTAAACATGATGACTATACATGCTAAAGTAACCCAGTTAAGGCATAAAAAGGAAACTACTTAGATAAAATCGGAATTTCAACATTTAGCCCGTGTACGCACTCGTTACCTCGCGTACACGGCCCTCACATATCACAAATTTTCACAACAATACCAAATCGTAAGGTAGAATTTTCCTCACACAAGGATAGACAAGTCACTTACCTCAAACCTCGCTCAATCAATCAATAAGAAGGCCTTTCCCTCGATTTTCCAACTCCGATCGGCTCGAATCTAGCTAAAATAATTTCATACTATAACTATAACTATAGGAAACTAATTTAAATAATGAAATTACGACTTTAGCAAAAAATTAAAAATTCACTCCAAATAACCGACATGGGCCTACGTCTCGTAACCCGACCAAAATCATAAAATCCGAACACCCATTCGATATCGAGTCCCGCCATATAAGAATTACTCAAATCCGACTTCAAATCGCCTTTCAAATCCCCAATTTTTAGCCTAAGAAGTTTTCCCAATTTCCCCCCAAATTTCCAACTAAAAACACTAATTAAATGATGAAAACAACAATAGATTCGTGGGAATTAATAAAAAACGAGTCAAGAATCCTTACCATAATGCTTCCTCTAAAAATTCCTCAAACTTTCGCCTCAATCCAAGCTCTCTAGGTCCAAAAATGGATAATGAAATCAAACCCTCGAACTTAGGCCTTTTATGCCCAGCAATTTCGTATCTGCGAACCCACAGCCGCTCCGCACCTGCGGAATTTCCCCAGGTGCGGACTTTACTTAAGTCCACTGACTTCGCTTCTGTGAGAAAACAGTTGCACCTGCACGTGCGCGTCTGCGACAAAACGTGTCGCACCTGCGACCCCACTCGCTCCTGCGCATTTCCCCACCGCGGAAGCGAAGCCGCTTCTGCGGAACCTTTTCCGCACCTGCGAGTCCTGCCTAGACTGCCCATTTCCGCTTCTGCGCTCTATAGCTCGCACATGTGAGTCCTCACATGCGGCCAATCCCCGCAGGTGCAATGAAACAAGAAGGTGGGAGCTTCAACAATTGCATATGTCCAGAAATGATCAGATATCAATCCGAATCACCCCAAGGCCCCCGGGACCTCCACCAATTATACCAACAAGTTCTAAAATATGATACGAACTTAGTCGAGGCCTCAAATCACATCAAACAATATCAAAAACACGAATTGCGCATCGATTCAAGCCTAATGAACTTCTAACTTCCACATCTGATGTCGAAACATATCAAATCAAGTCCGATTGACCTCAAATTTTGCACACAAATCATAATTGACATTACAGACCTACTTCAACTTCCGGAATCAGAATCCGACTATGATATAAAAAAGTCTACTCCCGGTCAAACCTTTCAAAATTTTTTATTTTTCCAACTTTCTCCAATTAATGCCGAAATGACCTACGGACCTCCAATCAACATCCGGGCACGCTTCTAAGGCCAAAATCACCATACAGAGCAATTGGAACCGTCAAAACTCAATTCCGGAGTCGTTTTCATACAATTCGAACTACGGTCGACTTCTATGACTTGAACTTCCAATTTAGGGACTATGTGTCCCATTCTATTCCGAAACTCTCCTGAACACGACACCAAGCACCCCGACAAGTCAAGTAACTACAAAATGAGATAGAGGGAGCAATAAATAGGGGATCAGGTCTAGCACTCTCAAAATAACCGGTCGGATCGTTATAATGTGTTATTGTAGATGTATCAAATTTATATCAAATTGGTACGAAATTTATTTTTACTTTTGTATGTTGTTGTACCATACATTATTTCTTTTCTTACTCGATTTGTTAAAGAAAGAAAAGTAGAAAATAAATTCCAAAATTGACTCATATGTACTGATCCATGTTTGTTTAAATTGGAAACCTTGAATATTATAGTAGCAATAGGGACTGATAATGACAATCCATTGGTAACTGATTTGATTGCACATGCTAAATTAACTATTAGCGTCGACAATGATATCTTTCAATTTTTGTTTGTTCTAGTCAGATATGCTATTCGATAGTTTTTCCAATTCTTTTTGTAGGCGATCTCAAGTTTCTTAATAAAGCACCAAAAGAAGTCAATTTAATATGGACAGTAATGAATTAGAATTGCAATGGTGTTTCTTATAGATCTGCATATGCTATCCTTGATAGGTTTAAAGCGACAATTTGATTTTCATACTTTTTTAGTCTTTCCCACTTTTATTGGGAGCAAGTCCTCTTGTTTTTGGATGAATTTGTCTTTGTTTAGCTTAAAATAGGTAATCCACGATTGGAAGGAATCTTACTCAAAGAGAAGAGAAGAAAAAAAAGGAAAAGGGTGTAACTTAATCTCCTAATTTAAGACACTAATAATAGATGATATATAAATTGTAAGCAAACGTTATTTAGGGCGAGTAATTTCCAAAACTAAGACAATTTTGATAATAAGGTTTTCCCTATATAATATAAATATCCTATTCGGGTGTTTAATATGTACGAATAGGAGCAAAAACAAATGTGGACTTTTTTTTTTCGGAACTTAAACTTTTAATATAATCCTAGCTTGGTGCTAAGGTGCTTAAGTTTTTATTAGTAGAACAAGCTTCATTAGTTCCTCTCTTTTCCATTTCTAAATATCCATGTTATCTTCAACAAAAACTAAAGCTACGGATTTCCTCAAATTCAATAAACAAAAAAAAAGAAAAGAGATTTTAATGTTCCATCTAGAAATCAAACAAGAGATCAATATATACGAAATGCTCTTTAAGTCTCTAAACATCCACACACATCACATAACAAGCACGCACTTCATAATATATAGTCATACACCAAATTAGAAACACTATTAATACTAAGACAAAATTGCAGTAATAAAAATTGGCACTAGGATGACAAATGAAGCAGCGGCAGCCACCCTCGTCGACACGGAGCCCGATGGCGGAGGAGACAAGTTGCCGCCAGGTGTCGCCGGAGATGAACCGGGAGACAGGCTGCCGGAGGGCGAGTCAGCAGAAGTGACGTTGACCGCTAATTTTTGGCCCTGGTTGCAGTGGATGGTACAAATGAAATAGTAGTCCCCAGTAGTATCAAGTGTGAATCTTGCTGGACCATTGGTTTCATTATCAATAGGATTTGCAGCGTTACAGCTATCAAAATCATTTTTGTTTACTCTAGTTGCTGTGTGTACTCCACTATTGAAATTGAACTCTGCATACAATTGGCAATTTTACATGTTTACATTTGTAAAATCCATTACATAAAAAGTACTAACGGTCACAAAGTTTTATATTCTAATTAAAAGTATATAAAAAATCGTAAATAGAAAAGAAATTGAAGGTGATATACATTTATTTTATCATCTTCACTTTTGTAGGTTTAGACATGATAGTGCGATGATCTAAGCATCAAATATACAGAGTGGCCACATAATCAAGAGAATATTACGTTCATCTTACGGTATTTAGACATGATAACGCACTATTAATTGCTCCTATTATAGATTAAGTAATTTGTTTTTACTGAACTTTTATTAATTTTCTTAAAGAATTTTCGGATTTCCTTAGTTGGTTCCATGGACATACTATACGGTCGGATTTCCTTCTTCGGACCGTGCGTAAATATATGATATTTTATACACCAAAGTGTCATTTTTATCAACTTTGTCTTTAGTGTGTTCTAAATTTTACCATCTTTTGAACATTCCTCTCCAACCAATAATTATAATAACTATCTATACAACTGCTAATTGAACAAAGCAGGGATCATCAACAGTTCCATCCCAAGAGCAATGAGTAATAGCTAGAAGGAAATTAAGTAGGAAGACCCTTAATTAATTACTTACTTTGTTGTGCATAAGACTAATAAACTTTTTGGAAAAAAGAAGAAGAATAGTATGTGTTTTTTAAACTGAAGGTGTATAAAATAATTACATAATCATATCACTTAGTATAAGATATGTAATTACTAGTAAACCTCTTTAATAAGCATAAATAATTAGTAATTTGATAAAAATAGTAACTTTCATGCTTTCACATGTTAAGTTAAGCCAATAGTGTAATTTTATTCGCATTATTGGTGGACATAACTTAAATAAAAAAGAAGAAAAGGAGCAAAATCACAATTGTAATTTTCTTGAAAGTTTATAAATATGCTTACCTAGAATATCCCCAACAACAAAGGTGTGTTGGTTAGCCCAGTTTGAGAAAGTAAGAGCACCAGCAGGAGGAGTCTGCCAACCAAAACTATCTCCAACTGTATATGTTCTTCCTACTGAAACCTCAAAAACACAAGCAAACATCAAACACACTAATAATAATTTGGTACATGAACCAAATTTTGTAGCCATTTCCATCTCACTTAACTTGTTATATGTTCAATGGATTAGGTCACCCCTATGCTTGTATCTAATGGTTCAGATTAGTGTTGTGTTTTTGTTGAACATTATAAATAGGAAAGAAGTCAAGGGTAATGCCTAGCCTATTGGAGCAGTTGAGAGTTTTTGTTTAATAAAATTAAAAGTCTATACCCAAAGGTGTCGCCCAGTGACCAATGAAATAGGTGAGAACCTTGAGACCCCATATTCAAATCCTTGCAGAGGAAAATACACTATGTGGTTTCTTCTCATCCAAGTCTTGATGGATAGTGTTACCTGATATCTGTTTTTGGTGGGAGATAGCAAGTATCCCTTAAAATTAGTCGAGGTACGCGTAAGCTGGCCTGACACGACAATATAAATAAAATTAAAAGTCAAGTTTGAATTGTGGAAGGTAAAATTTTCACATCAATTGAGATAAGCATGTAGAAGTCAATGGTTTTTGAGGATTAAAAACATTTCTTGTTTCATGCCGGTCGCAGAAAATGTTACCTTAACTAGTTTATTTTTATTGGTTTGAATTCTTTGGTTAGATTAAATATTAATACCACATGGTGGACCTATTCCGTGTTTTAGTTTTTATAGTGAATTGTTCAATATCATAAGGCTTTTAATAAATGTTAAAATGCATGCTTTTGATTATACGACTAGCCTACGACATTGTACACTTAACAATTTTATATATTTCGTATGAACTTATAAGAATATATTTTCAGAGTGTTTTGTTACAAGAAAGGCCTCCAGATATCCACAGATAAAAATATACTATATGTTTCGCATAATCTAGAACTTTCTTTTAAGTACGTCAATGTTTTTGCTCATTTTTTGCCTTTTGTATTATTTGGGGGAGGGAAGAGGGGAGGGGTGTGAAGGGAGGGTTCGGGTGTTTTAAATAGGTATAACACGTTACCCCTTTTTTTTTGGTTTAATTAACCATCCAATATTCGGTATTCACTGCGATTAATCCGGATTCGTGTCGCACATGATCCATTTACGAGGGAAGCATTCCCTACAAGAGTATCAAGAATTTCTCCATTTTCGAGTCTTAAAATGGAGACATTTCTGATTAAGGTTGGACGGATCTCATCCATCCCAATGTATAGGCCAAAAATTATCCTAGTTATATTTAGACCACGTCAGTATTAAGAGGGCTTTTGAGGGCTGCCACGTGTCATCAATATGATTTCAACAAAAGACAGATTCAAGGTCAAAGTGATCTGACAAGAGATGAAGGGCTAGATCGAGGAGTCAATAGAGATCGAGGTCGAGGACGAGCACTCTCCTTAAACGGATCAATAACGGCTAGTTTTAGGATAAAACTTTAAAGAGAATATTCTAGTGAATATTTTCGGGATCTGTTCTATTAGGGTTTTGTGGCACATATCCCCTTATAAATAAAAAGAGACATAGTTATAGAGGGGATTAGAAACTCATTTGTAAAAGAACACCACTTTGACATTCTTTGAGATTCTTGCTTTATTACAAACATACAAAGACACCTTTTTATTGAGATCCCTGTCTAGTTTTTCTCCCACGATCCAAGGAGAACCCGAATATTCAAAGGCTTATCAATCATTATCATTGTCAGAAGAAATATTACTCGACTTCATCCTTTTTTTCGATCATCTATGTTACATATATCTACATAAATACGATTATACATCATTTATTGATATTTAATGATATTCACTTCATATTTGTGCCATTAAATATTGTTTATTGTTACATGTCCATTAGTGCTACCACATACTTCATGACGTTTTGCCACTGCACTAGTTAAATAATTTAGTTGGCATTACTATTGGCTAAGATTAACCCTATTTTGTTAAGAAAATCTAATTGTTTAAACCTAGATCTAAATTTTGGGTCAAACAGTTTGGTGCCGTCTAGGGGAATTTCTTAGCTAATCTTTTAGTTTCCATTAGATCTACAACTCACGTGACTTGCTAACCTAACGAGCGACAAAGGTTTTCTCCTCTCTACACGTACAGAAATTTCCATAGCAAGTAACCAAGGAAATGGGACTAGGGCAACAGATAACGTTCCCCGAAACCTCATGAACGCCATCAACTAGTGCTATGAAACACAGGGCGAGGATGTGACGCCCACTACCTCCCCCAGACGTGAGAGGTGGCCTCCCCCTTATTGCAGCACAACAAAACTAAGTGGGAAAGGAGCTTCCATGTCTACAGAAGAAGGGACGCCACCTGTCATGAAAAAGCTCCTCGAAGCATGGCTAACCGATACCCTAGTAAGCGTGCTCAACAAACAAGTTCCATGCACAACCATAGAAACCACAAGAGCCCATATGGTATAGCGAGGGGAAGAACAAGGCGATCAACCAGACCCCCCAACTCCAGGTATAAATCACAATGTTACTAACAGTGCAGGTGACAGCGTCCTCGCTGCTGTTTTGAAAAGAATGGAAGAAATGGAGAATGAGAACAAGATGCTCAGAGACCAAATGAAAGAACACCAGGAACGGGTAGACAAGATACCGGGCGCCCCTAAGTTACTGCCGAAAAGGGACACCGACAGGTTCGTAGAACAGCCGTATAGCGAGGAAGCGGCCCCACATGCCATACCAAAGACCTTTAAAATGCCACAATATCTTAGAATATACGATGGTACAACCGACCCCGAAGATCATGTGACTCATTATATCACCGCCGTGAAGGGCAACGACCTCACCAAGAAACAAGTGTCCTCCATTTTGGTGAAGAAATTTAGCTAAACTCTCACTGGAGAGGAATTAACATGGTATTCATAGCTACCGGCCCTCTCCATAGAAACATTCGAAGAAATGGACGACAAGTTCATGATGGCACATGTGGGGCCAAGAAAGCCAAAACGAGAGTAAACGACATCTTCGCCATCAAGAAATCCCTAGGAGAGGGACTGAGGGACTTCATTGCCCGATTCAACAGGGTAAGGATGACCTTACCAAATATGTCCGAGGGGATGACAGTCGCAACCTTTCAGAATGGGTTGAGTAGAGAGGGTTCAAGAGCGACCAGAAAGCTGCTGAGCCGATTGATGAAGTATCCTCCAACTACTTGGAATGAAATCCATAATGCCTATTGTGCCGAGGTCCCAGCAGATGATGACGACCTCAACGAACCAACTCGATGACTCAGCTCGATACAAATTGATCCCGGAAAAGAACCAAGATATAACATGAGGAGGGATCACCCGGTCTCACAGCCAAACAAGGAACGACATCAGCCTTATGTTAGGGAACCCGCACCTCCCTCCTTTCGCTATGATGATGGCCCGTCCAGGCCGAGGACAGGGACTCACAAAAATGAGAGAGGTATGCCCCCTTTGTTATCTACTTACAATTTTTGTATTTCACCTATAGAGGTAGTCTACGCCACGGAGAAGCTCGGAACAAAGGTGAATTGGCCGGAAAAGATGAGGTTCGATCCGAGCACTAGGAAATCCGACGGCCTCTGCGAATTCCACCAGGAACGCGGACACAAAACAGAAGATTGCATCACCCTAAGGAAAGCGGCAATGAACATGTTGCAGCAAGGGCACCTCAAAGAGCTGTTGAGCGACAAAGAAAGGAACCCATTGGCCAGGGGTCGAGAACTACAAGGCCCGCCAAAGCCACCCTCGCCATCTCGTACCATTAATATGATTATTAATGGCAGCGATGATGCCACCATCAACAACGTCAAGTTCACTACCACCCACAAGCTCAAAAGATCGATCACCCACGAACGGTATGACAGACTGGAAAAAAGTATCATCTTCGACGAGTCAGATGCCGACGGTTTGACTTTCCCTCACAACGATACTCTAGTCATTACTGTACAAATTTTAGATACTGATGTTAAACGTGTCATGGTAGATGATGGGAGTGGAGCGTGCATCATCTATTCCCGTGTCCTCGCCCAGATGTGACTCGAGGATAAGATAGTGCCATGTTGCATCACACTAACCGGTTTTAACAATGCAGTTGAATGGACTTGGGAGAACTTACACTCACCGTCTTCATCTGTGGTGTAACTATGGAGACAACGTTCCACATCATGGACCAGGCCACCGCATATAACACCATAGTGGGACGACCATGGATACATCCTATGAGAGTCGTCCCCTCTAGATTATACCAAGTAATCAAGCTCCCAACACATTGGTTAATATTCAGCATATGAGGGGAACAATGCACGTCCCGGGAATGCTACTGAATCGCCATGGATAGTATGCCAACTCAACAAAAGAAAGATAAGGAAAAAGAAGCGTAGCAATCAGCAGGGTCGAGGTCGCCACAAAAAGGATCTAGGGAAGTCATCATGGACCCCGAAATGGTCAAAGCCGCAGAATCAACCATAGAAGACCTTCTACCCGTTCAATTAGACCATAGACCTCAGTAAAAAGGCCTACATCGGCTGCAAACTCCGAGAACCAGGTAAATTTAGTCAATTCTTAATAGCTAACACAAATTTGTTTGCTTTTAGCCATGCAGACATGCCGGGCATCCCCAAAGAGATTGCCACACACAATTTGAAAGTCGACCCCTTATATTCCCCGGTGAGGTAGGTCCGACGAAAATTCAATCCTACCATCAATGATGCCGTCCATGAGGAGGTAGAAAAGCTATTAGCAAAGGACTCCATCAGGGAGTCGAAGTACCCCAAATGGATAGCCAACATGGTGATGGTCAAAAAGAAAATTGGGAAATGGAGAATGTGTGTGGACTTCACGGACCTGAACAAAGCATGCCCAAAAGATTCAATCTCATTGCCACATATCGACCAACTCATCGACGCAATGGCAGGGCAAATGGTGTTAAGTTTCCTGGATGCATATTCGAGTTATAACCAAATACTCATGTAGGAAGAAGACCAAGAGAATACCACATTCATCACCCACATGGGAACATATTGTTATAGGGTCATGCCGTTTGGGTTAAAGAACGCAAGGGCCACCTATCAGAGGTTGGTCACAAAAATGTTCAAGGACCAACGCAGCAGGACCATGGAGGTATATATCGACGACATGCTCATCAAATCCGTGAGGGCAAAAGATCACATCGACTACTTGAAGGAAGTTT